GGAACACCGCCCGGTTTTGACGTTGGGAGATTTGATCAAATTGTGCCAACATCGTAGTAGCTTTTTTGTCCCTCCATGAAAGAAAATCTAGGCCCTCTCAACTGTATCAAACTTTATCAAATGAAGCATTGGTCAGACTTGTAGCAGTGTGCATTGGGTATAACAACAGACAGACAAACTCGGGTGTGTTGAGACTGACGTAACAGATCGCGCGATAACCCAGGTCATGAGGCAAGTTCTGACCGCCCAGTTGTTCTCTCGACGTCCCAGTGTCAGACTGTACTCTCGTTATCGCCACTCGCATGCACTCTTACAAAACCTGTCTGCTGAAAGATCGTTTTTTTCAGCGGGGTGGGGGGAGTTCTCCACACTTTTTAATTATTAAAGATAATGGACTTAATTAAGAAAATATGGTACATTATGTGACACAGGGCCGGCTATCTTTTCATGTCAAAATGTTTATCAGTGTTGTGCGTCATACACTGTGAGTGGTTGGTGGGTGCTCTGGTGTGGTTTGCTTCTTCTTTCCTACCAAACATCTATCGTCCTTATCTCCTCTCCTTCTTCTTTTTTATGTTTGTTACTCTCTTGTTGTAATACCTCTAATCTTCTGGCGCTCATATGACCTTATGCAGTTGCGAGCGCAATAAAACCTCTTCTGAAACAAAATATATACCCCCCAAAAATTCCGCTATAATTATTGTGACCTCAAAGTTTCTGGGACGTGGCTCGAACAACAAACTGAGACAATGAGACGAGTTATTTGTGCTACTGAAACATTGAGATATTTTCTTTGTCTAACTGAGACAGTGAGACATTTTCTTTGTCCAACGGAGACGTTGATACATTTTGTTTGCCCAACTGAGACATTGAGACAGTTTCTTTGTCCAACAACAGTTTGGTACTCTGGGACACGTTCTTTTTCTTCCTGTCTAGGCTTCATCAAGCAGGAAGTCGCAAAAAAGCTATTGGCGTAGTCGGCACCATAGAGGCTAATGTTTTAATCTAGTTCTAGAGTTCGTGGGCTGCTTGTGCCCACTCTAGGAAGCTGAAACTAAAGGGCAAGACACACGCAGTTCAACAGACGGATAAGTACTTTTCGAGACTCACGTGGAGGTGTCTCGGCGGTCTTAGAAGGAAATCTACAAGCTTGCACTGAAATGTGGGGGTAGGGTGGTGTTTGATATACTAGAGCTCTTGGGGAGCAAGGCAGTGGCTCAGATTGTTAATTTAAATGGTGGCACGCCAGCCATGCAGATGAAGATAAGAAGGCCCCCATGTCTGACACGGGTGACGTCACTGCAGCGAGCTCTAGCATTATCCTCTTTGAGTTACCCCCCTGTCTAGAAGACATCTGATTCTGCATCCGCTTCGGAAAAGTTCCCCTCCCAGCGGACAGTATTGTCAGTTGTTTGTGTTGTTGTTTTTTGCTCAGCCTGCATAACAGAGGTTACTTCCTGTATACTTTTACAATCCGAACTAGAAGTAAGTAAGTAAGTTTATTCAGTATTTAAGACCATTGGCCCACATCACATCGCACAAAACATTCATTTGATAAATAATGTTTCCATATTGAATAGGTAAAGGTTGTGCACATATCTCTTATCATGAGTCAAACATTGCATATTTCTGTCACTGGGCTGAGTCAGGCTGGGAGGAATTAA